TCGATTTTTTCTAATCGATGGTAATCGATTCTCAGTTGATAATCGATTGCCAACCTGGTTTAAAATTTCGTGATGATCTCTAACCAAATTGTTTGTAAAAAATCTTTGATATCTCGAAATCTTTATTAAGAAACTGATTTTAGAATATTATAAAAAGTATTTAACCAATTGATTTACAGTTACCATAAAAATTTTAGAGAAGTAAACATTTTCTGTGATTTTAATATTAATTTAAGTATCAATTAGCCATTACTTTCTGAAAAAACTGTATTATATTTACAAATTAAATTTTAAATTTTTTTATAATTAAAAAAATTATATATTTTATATAATATAAATTTAAATAGTATATACTATAATAATTAATTATAATACTTATATTACTAATTTATAGATTAATTTTATTAAAATTATTAATTATATTAATTTTGTTATTTGTACTACTTATATAAGTGTTAATTTTATTAAATATAATCAAAAACTAATAATAAAGTACTATTTAATTGTTTAATAAAATTAAAACTATTTTAATTAATAAAATATAACAATTAATAAAATAATAACTAAATATTTATATTATAATACTATTAAATTTTTAATTTTATATATTATATATGAAGTAATAATTTTTATATTAATATTTTGTATTAAACTATGTTATAATATTAGCAATTAAAAATTTTCTAATTTTTATAATATTAATAAAAAGTTTTTCTTGTATTAAGTTTAATTTTATCATAATATTTCTTTTTTTTATATTATTAATTTTGTTTTTTATTTATTTTTATATTTAATTATAATTTTATTTATTAGTTTGTTTGAAATTTGTATATGATCTATATAAATTTTAATTATAACTAGTACTTTAATTGGATTAGATCCAATTTGTAATCTAATTCAAACTGCATGCTTTGGATTGATATCAATTCAATCTGAAATATTTCAAATTAGATTAAAAATTGTTATTTCTTGTTCAATATTAATTCAAATTGAACAAAAATTTGTAGATATATACACAATTATATTCCGAACAATTTTACTTAGACACAAAATACAAATGTCTTAGTAAAAATAAAGCTATTAATGAAAAACTATTTTACAATTTTCAAATAAAACCTGATCTAAACTTAAACTAACCAAAATTTATCAGATCGGGATCTGACCTGATCTGACCTTATAGAGCTTTAATTATGATATTATTTCTTTTTTTGGATTCAATAAATAAGTAATATTTATCGTTATAGAATAAATGTATTTGTAACAACTATTATTTGTAACAACCACATTTTAATTGGCTAATTAGGACCTGAGTTAGGGTTAAGATTCTGTATATGTGATTGGTTAATATTGAAGTTGTTACAATTAGATTGATTCATTTTTTATCTATTTTTGGTCATGTACAAATCAATGACAAGATCTCGCCATTTTTATTTTGTGTTTTGTCATCATATTCTATATCAAAAAAAATGCGATTCATGACTCTCATATCTCACTAAAAGTTATTTGACATGTCGAATACATGTATTTGATTAAATTCTGTAATTACATCATAAGTTAACTGTAAAATGTATAAACTTTTCAAATGATAGAATTAATACCCTAGCCACGGCAAAGAAAAGTGTCGGACACGTGATGATACAACCAATAAGAATGCGCAAAAATTATGTGCAACCAATAGGAATGTAGCAAATTTTTGATCAACCCGGCAAACAAGTCCGACACAAGAAAATAAAAAAGACAAAAAATGCGAAAAATACAAAAAACAGATATCTAAATCTAGTTTGGCACACTATCAAAAAATGTCGGGAAGACAATTTTATATCTAACCTTGATCTCAGCTCTAACCCTAACCCTAATAATTGATATCTAATATTAATCGGATATTTTAATGGACTTATTTCAGATCACGTGACCGACACTTTTTTTGCCGTGGCTAGGATACTATGATAGAATATATGTACGTAATCAGTCATTCAAATCCGGATTAGATCGATTACGGATTGAATGATTCGGTAACATCCTTCTTATGATGATCACAATATCCGAGCACCTCCAACACGGTTAATCTATATACAACAGCTGTTAAAGGATTATTTTTTTAATGATATAAGAGCATCTCGTTCATTGCTAATAATACAAGATAAAAATCGCTTTATTTGACCCCCACTAAGTGCATACGAAAATTTAAGCTTAGATGAAAAGTTCTTGATTGATACATAAAAAATAATACTATATATCTGTTATTTAAGAAAATTTTTGATGTGTGGTACATCTTTTATGGCTTCCCTCAAGTCATTCTCCAAAATGTTTGTAATTATTTTTCGGTCTTCATTTCGCTTTGCTCGACCAAATTTCAAGAGTCCATTTGATTCACAAGCTGTTATTAGATCAGGAAATTGTGTTTGATTGATAAGAGGAGCCGAATACTTTTTGCATAAATTCTGATAGAAGGTGAATAGCTGTATGTATGCAACGGTGTTAATATTATTCAATTTTGATGAAAATATGAAAATCGACTAAATTTGGATATTTTACTTTGGCTTGAGTCGTACTAGTATTACCATTCCTTTTCATTAATATCAAACTGCAAAGCATTGCTTGCTGATGAATTGTCAATTCTCGAAGTCTTTGAACTGCTTTGTTTGTAACGAATGCATTGGATAGGATCTTTGACATCTCAGCCAATGTCACTTTACCAATCTCGTCGTTCTTGTCGTTATTCTTCTTATCAAGACTCTGTAAAGCCAACATGCAAAGCTCCATTGCTTGCCGCACGTCACCACCTTCAAACGCGACTTTCCTAGCACATAATTCTACTGCCTGCAATTCAATTAATGAATTATTAGCCACTGATTTCAAGCGATCGTCAATAATTGCTGATATTTCTGATGGTCTGTACGATTTGAATGTCAATGATTCGACTGTGACTGCGTAACGATAAAAAATAGTGTTTTAATTCCCATATTGCTGAATTAAAAAGTATTTTTGGACGTACCATTCTTTGCGCTCAAACGTGAAAGTAATCTCTTATCAAGGTTAATTTCATTAGCAATAGCGATTAGGGTCATTTTTCCATCAGAAAGTGCGCTATATTCAAAGAGACTGTATATCAAACTGGAATCCTTCTCAAAAAGATTATCCACCTCGTCCATAACAATAACACTATATATTATACTATTAGATAAGTCATAAAAACCAAACAGTTCACTGATATCAGCGAAAAGTAAACACTTACTACATGAAAACATTATTATCATCATCTTTATCATTATTCTTTATAAGCAATTCAAACTCTCGCTGAGCATCCACCCGTTTCTTTACCTCCACCCCTGACAATTTTTTGACCAATTCAAAATAAAGATTTTTCGGTTGTACAGTATTACAATTAATCTCAACTATCTGCAAACCCTCAATATCTCTTAATTTTAATTCTCGACAAACTGCATGCACTAGTGCTGTTTTCCCGGTTCCGGGACTTCCAGCTATGTAAAGACGACCAGGGATGTGATCGGAAATTGTTGTTTGTAAGAATTTGGTAATTTTTGCATGCTCCATCTCTCGGCCTACTATTCGTGCCGGGTCTGCAGAACGACTAAAAGCAGATCTTGTGGCAATTAACAAGTCTTTCGTTGCTTTTTTTATTCAATGAAATTTTCAATTGTAAAATAAAGTCTTGATGAATCTTGATATTATTGCAAGATAAGGTTCCGAGCAGAAAAGATTTCCCCAATGCTTACCATTTGCAGTGACTTTAACTCGCTTAGATTTGCCTATTTTATAAGTATATATATACGAGGCCAAATTGAGTAATTTGTAGATTCCTATAACACTCACTATCAATAATGTGTTTTTTCATACATTCTTGGTTATCTTCGGGAACCTCTTGAGATTTTCTTTTCTTTGTTACAGGCCATGGAAGTTTTTCTTGGTTGCTCATAGCTTTGTAAATGTAAAGACGCGTATTGTCGCAATTTTAAAAATTCACGCAATTTCGTCCAATTAGCGATGGGATTTAGGGGATAATTTTCTGCATAATTCCAGCCATAAATCATGTAAGCATATCAGAAATCGACCAGTTTTACTGAACCAAATTTCAAATTTCTTAATCTGTAATTCATCCAATAGGAGTGCGCAAAATTTTGTCAATAATAACTAATAACGATAAGAATGCACAAATTTTTGATCGACCCGGTAAAACAAATCTGACTCAAAGCGATGAAAAAAGTGATATTACGAGAAATCCGATGCATAAATCTGTCTTGGACTATTAATTAAAAATGTCGGGAAGGCAATTTTACGTATAATCTCCAATATCTTATCTTTACCATGACTCTAATCGGATATAATGAAAATTCAGAATCCAAAATTAGAGGATCGATTAAAGCGTAGTCCATCCGATAATCTGTCCGAAAAACAAATCAATGATAATGATTAAAAATGTCGAAAAGACAATTTTAAATATAATCTTGATCTTCTTCCTAATCCTAACTCTAACGTTAAAATTACCTTTTAATATTTTTAAGAAAATTTGAAATTTAATTAGTAAAACTAATTTGTGTCATATTTTATCAATCATAAATTAGTAGTCAATAAGAATATAAAACAAAATATAAAAATATTCTTATTATAATTATAATACTTAAAAACTGAAATCACGTGAATTATTTCAGTTTGAAAAACAAAATTTAAAATTAAATATATTAAGATTTTATTATATTTTCATGTCTTTCTAAAAAAATCACATGATTTTTTTAAATGTAATATTCTTAACTTGACAAAATAAATCTATTAAAATTATGATATCCAAACTTTTTATCCAATTTTCTTCATACATTTATATTATCAAAATCACAATATCTAATTTTCTATTTCAATTTTTTTTATATATATTAAGAATATTTAAAAATAATTAAATTATTAAAACATAAATTTTATATTAGTGAAACAATAAATTTGAGAACAGCAAATATAATTAATCTTTTAAATAAAAACACAAAATTAAAATAATATTTTTAATAGTTATAATGTATACTTTTTATTCTCTTTTTTTTTAAAAAAACAAATTAATTAATTAATGATAAATTTATAAAATTACTATATTATACAAATTTCATAATAAATATTATTATACTAAATAAAAAATGAATTTATTTGTTTGTGAATCAGATTGAAAGTTACAAAAAAAATATTAGCTCAAAGATTCAGATATTAATAAAAGTATATAAAAAAATTAAAAAAATTGAAACTATATCAATTTATATCCAGTTTGAAAGCTATATTAATAGATTTATCTGTAGTTCCAAAAAAATTGGTGATTTTATGAGCTCTCTTTACAATATTAATAAGTATATCAGAAATATCAAATTTAGAATAATATTGTTGTAATTAGATATTTCATAATCAATCATCTCACATGATCACTTCATATGATCACTTCGAATGATCATTTCAACCAATTGTAACAATTTTCACATACCCTTGTAATTTCTTGTATCATGTTTATCCTTTTTCATGTTATGTTTATCATTTTTTGCATAACATGTTAGAAATTAACACAGATCTACATTTAATACTTCTTAATGTTGCGCTAATTAGATTAGATATGAAATATAAATCATATTATTAATTTGGATATACATTGTTTTTAATTACTTTTATTTTTATTTGTTCTTTTTCTTTTTTTTTATTATTTTTAATTCATATTAATTATTTTTTATTATTATTTATATTTTATACATATTCATTAAGTATAGCATAATTTGGAGATGTGTTATCTTTAAGATTAATAATTTAGAACCAATTACTTCTATTTTATTATTAAATTATTTGTAATTCATTTAATATTAATTATATATTTAAATGTTTCTGTTCTGTATTATAGCTCTTTTCACTATTTAATAAATAAAGAATAAGCTTTATTAAAATTAAAACTGAAAATTATCTCAATTGATATAATTTATTTACAGCAATTAATAAATTTATCT